CTCTCTCTCTCTTTCTCTCTCCATACACACACACACACACACACACAGTGCCTAAGGCACTTGACTGCTAACCAGAAGGCTGGCGGTTCAAACCCACTGGCCACTCCTCGGAAGGAAGGTTTGGCAATCTACTTCCATAGTGATACCGCCTTGGAAACCTAAGGAGGGGTCGCTATGAGTTGGGTCCAACTCGGCAGCACACAACAACAACAACACACATCCATATACACACATACACACATGCATATATATGTATATATGTAATCGTGTAGGTAATATAAGTCGATGAATAATTTAGCAGATTAGGAACACTGAATAGTCATAATTAAGCTCATACTTTAGGAATACACTGTGTTGTAAAATACTGGAAATACTGAGAATTTTATTTCTGTTGGGGAAGGGGTAGAACCATGGTTGTAGCTCTTCATGGTCTTGAACCTTTAAGAAAATATGATTTATGAGTGTTAAAATATTAAATGGGTTAATAGAAGTTGGTAGCTTTATAGCTATTTAAAAAGTACATATTTTTAAACAGAATTTATACAGAAAATAAAGTGCAAAAAGAAAACTAAATGTACCCCGTCCAGAGACACACACTGTTAATATTTTGATGTATTGGTGCAAATTTGGAATCATGTTGCATGATGCAATATTGTGCTCTACTTTTTTCACATAACATAACAATCTTAGGTTTTTAAACACTTTGAAAAAGCAGCTGCATAGTAAGTATTTTAGGCTGTGGCTATATCTTAGTTTATTTAAACTACCTTCTCTATTTCAAAGGTGTTCTGGTGGCGTAGTGCCTAAGGCACTTGACTGCCAACCAGAAGGTTGGCGGTTCAAATCCATCAGCCACTCCATGGGAGGAAGACTGAGCAATCTTCTTCCATAAAGATTTACTGCCTCAGAAACCCAAAAGGGTCGCTATGAGTCAGAATTGACTGGAAGGCAGTGAGTTTGTTTTTTTTTTTGGTTTATCTGTTACAAGAACAGGTTATTTGCTAATTATATTTATTTATTTTTAACTGTCTTAAGTAGAGACACAGAACTCTTTTCTTCTCCCTTAACTCTGATGGTCTGAAGAGAGTTGTTAAAATTTGTGGTGACCGAATGGGTTCCCATTAGGACATTTGGTGTTTCTTTTCTGTTCTCTGCTGGTTGAGAGTGGCATGAAATGTGTGTTTTATAGGAGACTAGAGAAGGGACTCCTTGGTACCTGTTCTTTGGTGAGAGAGGCTAGAGAAAAATCTGAGAAGAAAAGCACTTGGCTAACTCACTTTTTTTGTTGTTGTTTCTTTTTAGTTCTTGAGATCATGAATCCTGTTTATAGCCCTGGATCTTCTGGGGTTCCGTATGCAAATACCAAAGGAATTGGTTATCCAGGTAAGGAAATATAATTATTTCCTGGTCTCAGCTTCATTTCCTCACTATTGGATCAGTGTTGGTCATACTTCTCCCCATACTGTGGTTTCTCCGTGATGGTTAGCACCTCCCAGCAGATCCTTGGGCTGTAAGCCTATTTTATCTCTGTTCTACAGGAAAACCTAGTTGGGGGTTCTTGCCATACCAGAGTTGTGGGATTCTTTCTGACTGGACTCAGCTTCCATTCTTTGCCCATCCCTGAGCTAGTCCCAGGGCCAGGGGATCCTGCTGATTAACTTAGGCCTGAGCCACATACCCAGCCTTCGTGGAGTCAGCTAGCTCAAACGTAGGCTGTGAGGGAGGGAACAAAACAAAGATTAAGGCGATAGGAGCTGATGGTTGTCCAAATTGGTGACTTTGAATAAGTAGTAATTTTCAGTTTGAATGATCTCTTTCATCATGGGTTTTGATAATAAAGTGGATGATATTGCCTTAAAAGCATGCTGTTAAAACCCCCAGAAAGTTTAATAATACAAACATTTTTTAAAAAACTGAGCTTTCAAGAAAGAGAAAAATTTGCAGCCAAATAAGTTATACAGTAACCATTACCTTTGGTCATTGAGCTAATATTGTGCCTGCACTGGGAGCTTTTGCTATTGGTACGTTTCAATAATCCACATGGGACAGAGATTGAGGCTCTAGGGCCATGTAAGGCAAGGAGTCAGATTAAAACCCTCAAATCTGATACCTTCAGAGGGCTATATTCCCAGTGAGTAGGCTTCAGAGGATCAAGTACAGTAGAGGAGAAGAAGTGGCAGAATTTTTCAGAATTGGTGAAAAATAATTTAATGATAAGACTGACTTTTAAAGTCTTTTAAGTATTAAAATTAATTTAAATAGCTGAAGGAGATCTTGAATGGATCAAGTCCTAGGAAAGTAGCCAAAAACCTATGGTATTACTTAATAAAAACCAGAAAACCAAACTCACTTAATAAGCTTAGTCAATATAATACATTATTGATCACCTACCATACACTATGGGAGCTCTGGTAGCATAGTGGATAAGACACTTGCCTGCTAACCAGAGGGCTGGCGGTTCAAACCCACCAGCCACTCCTCGGAAGGAAGGTTGAGCAATCCTACTTCCGTAGTGATACTGCCTCGGAAACCCAAGGAGGGGTCGCTATGAGTCATGTTTGACTCGTCGGCACATAACAACAACAACAACAACCATACACTATTTCTATGTAAGGCTGTGAGGAGACTGGGATAGATATATTCTGTACTTTTTCTTAAAAGGAGGGGTTGGCAAACTTTATGTAGCAGGCCTATCTTAGGCAGGGTTCTTTAGAGAAGCAAAACCAGTGGATGTTATATATGTGTATGTAGAGATTTATCTCAAGGAATGGACAAACATGGTTGTACAGGCTGGCAAGTCCCAAGTCTATGAGTCTGACATCAGGCTAAAGGCTTTTCCTTACTAGCTGCAGAGGCTGATAAATCCAATATCAGCAGGTAAGTCAGCAGACTGGTGGCTCACAGGCTGCAGAAGCTAACACATTCAAAGATCTGTAAGCAGTACAGTAGGCCTCAGGCTCAAGTCCCAGGAACCTCAGTGATTAGATGATGAGAGTTGAATATAGGATCCACAACTAGCAAAAAGCTAGAGAGCTTTACCAGAAGATCCATAATGTATTCAATACAGGCCACACCCCTGAGGAGACTTCCTTTCAGTTGATTGGCTGCTCATAATAGATCTCATCATGAAGGTTTATATTATATTAATTATATTATATCTCATCATGGGAGATGACTACATCATTACTTAGCTGCCATACTACATCATAACTGCCAACCAGAGAATCATGGCCCAGCCAAGTTCACATACAGCCTTAACTGTCAGAAGGCCAGATAGTAAATACACTATTTGTTTTATACCATCTCTGTTGTAGCTACTCAACTCAACCTTTATGGCACAAAAGCAACTGTAGACAATACTAAATGAATGAGTCTGGCTGTATTCCCATTAAGCTTTATGAAAACAGGTGGTGAGCTGCATTTGGTCTGTGGGAGGCCCTAGTTAGCTGACACCTGGTCAAAAGAATTGGAGAAAACGCATTCAGGTTTTTCTCCCCCCAATTACAGGGGCCTTTGCAGTACAAAAGGAGCTCTGGTGGCACAGTGATTACAGCATTTGGCTGCTAACTAAAAGGTTGATGGTTCAAACCTACCAGCTTGTCCACAGGAGAAAGATGAGGCAGTCTGTTTCTGTAAAGATATACATACAGTCTTGGAAATCCTGTAGGGCAGTTCTACTCTGTCCTTTAGGGTTGCTGTGAGTCAGGATTGACTCAATGGCAATGGGACTTTTAGGTTTTGGTTAGTGCAAAAGCACCTTGGTGGCACAGTGGTTAAAGCTCTTGACTTCTAATCAAAAGGTTGGAGGTTTGAACCTGCTAGCCACTCTGCAGGAGAAAGATGTGGTAATCTACTTCTGTGAAGATTTACAGCTTCAGAAACCCCATGAGGCAGTTCTGCTCTGTCCTGTAGGGTTACTATGTATTAGAACAGACTCGAAAAATGTATTTGTGAGCTTGAGTAGTACAAAGAGTTTGCAAGTGGCTGCTAAACTAAAGATTGGCAGTTGGAACCCACCCTGAGGCTCTGTGGAAGAAAGGCCTGGCAGTTTGGTTCTGTAAAGATTTCAGCCAAGAAAATCCTATGGAACAGTTTCACTCTTCAACACATGAGGTTGCCATGAGTTGGGAACCAACTCAACAACAGGTAACAACAGTCTTAAAAGAAAATTTATATAGCTTTAAAGCAGTTTTAAATTTTATATAGTTTTCTAGTTTCTTCTTTATTGTACTTTTTTTTAATACTATTTTGCCTATTTATTTATTTAGTATTCTCCCTTACTATCTGTTCTGTATCAGTAAAAGTTCAATACTGGAAATAGAAAGCATTCTAGGAATTTTTAATGAGGCATTATTTAATGTAGGAAATTATATACTTAATGTATTTTGAGGCTAGCATAACTTCAGTACCCAAAACTGACATTATAAGAAAGGAATATCCTTTTATACTATTTTATACACTTAGTAGCAAATTGAGAGAATGGTCTGTAATGAAATTTCCTTTTTATTTACATTTAATGGAAAATAGAGACCATCTCCCAGAAACCTTTGGTCTGATTACTGATATAATTAAATTACTGATATAATTAAATTAGACCTCCACCTACCATCTTACTATTGATTTTTTAATAAAATATATTTTTATTATTTTTCTTTCTATTAAAAATTCTCTTATTATCTTAGTGGTTACTGTAAAGATTAAGGAGCTCTGGTAGCACAGTGCCTATGGCATTTGACTGCTGACTAGAAGGTTGGTGGTTCATACCTACCAGCTGCTCTGTGAAGGGGCAATCTACTTCTGTAAAAATTTACTACCTTGGAAACTCAGTGGGTATCACGATGAGTTGAAATTGATGTGATGGCAGTAGGTGTAAAAATTACAGGACCTCTGGTGGTGTAATAGTTAAAGCATTCGGCTGCCAGCTAGAAGGTCGGCCGTTCCACAGGAGAAAGGTGAGGCAGTCTGAATTCTTAAAGATTTACAGCTTTGAAAATTCTATGGGACAGTTCTATTCTGTCCTAAAGGTTCACTGTCCTAAAGAGTCAGTATCAACTTGATGGCAGGGGGTTTGTTTTCTGTTTTATAAAGATTATGGTAGTATTTTTACTCCCCTTTTTTGTGTTACTGCTGCCATGCATTAAGACTTTGGAACTTGGGATTGGGTGGGAGGAACAAGGGAAAACTTCTGGGGGAAGAAAAAATGAGTGGGGGAACTGCTGCAGGTAAGAGTTTCCATTTTAGATTCTTCCACCACTGCCTTCACCACCATCATTTCCATTATTACCTCCTTTACTGTCACTACCACCATTATTACTTAGACCACCACTACCCTCACCACCATGACCTCTGTCACCACCATCAACAGTATCATCACTTCCTCTGGCACTGTCACCATTACCCACTTAGACTGTGGCCCTGAGTCACTCCTTGGGCCTGAAATTGAACTCACTCTTGAGGCTTAACTCTCATAGTAGACAGGCTTGTGAGAGGAATACTTAAACCAAAGAGATACATTTCTTAGAGCAGTCAACCACAGGAAATCAGAAAGGCAGCATATCATTTGCATAGGGAGAAAGGTAGGAGGACAGGAATACATAGGCAAGAAAGACGTAGGGAAAGGGTAAGAACAGGGAAAAAGTGGGAGGAGAGCAGTTATACTGTGGGTAATGTGCTCAGTGTCATAAAACAAAATGTTTCTGAACTGTTGAATGTGAAATGAATCTGCTTTGTAAAATTTCACCCAAATCACACTAAAAAGGTTGAAAAAGAAAAAAAAAAGACCTTACTGTTTTTATTTTGTTCAGTCACCATGCATTTATATTTATTTGTACATTCAGCATTTTTTTTTTTGGTGCTCTTCATTGCTTTCTGTATTTCTGTTTGGTATACTTTTCCTTTTACCTAAAGAAATCCTTTTAGTATTTCTTTTACTCTGGTTCTGCTGGCAGTGAATTTTGTTTTTGTTTGTGAAAATGTTTTTGCTTTCAGTTAGGAGAATAATTTTGCTGACTGTATTTTCTGTAACAAAATTAATTGGTGGCTTAAAAGAACAGAAATGTATTCTTTCATGGTTCTGGAGGCCATATGTGTAAAATTAAGGTCTTGGCAGAGCCATATTCCCTCTGAAGGCTCTAGGGGAGGGTGTAGTAAATTACTTAGGTTGACTTTTCTAGCCCTAAACCAAAACCAAACTCAGTGCTGTCATGCCGGAGCTGACTCATAGTGACCTTTCCTTGGGTTTCCGAGGTGGTTCCGTATGGAAGTAGATCACTCAGTCTTCCTTCCAAGGAGTGGCTGGTGGGTTTGAACCGCCAGCCCTCTGGTTAGCAGTCAGCTCTGTGGTGGAATTTACTGTGAGCAACTGAGTAGCTCCTGATTGTTAA